TTTCTATTTCTTTATCTGGATAATGGTTATAACAGTACATTCACTTTGTAAAAATTCAATGCATTTACTCATCTGAACACTTCCCCATTTGTGGTATTAGTTTAAAATTTTTAACTTTAAAAAGTTTACTTTTTTTTTTTAAAGCAGAACTCCAAATAATATAGTAAGATCATGTTCTTATTTTAAGAACCTGTATTTTTAAAGTGGTAAAAAATACAGCAAAATGTAAATAGTGGTATTCTGGATTGTAAGATTACACATAATTTTATATCTTCTCTGCAAGTTTCTCTTCAATAATCAGAAAAATGAGGGACTTCCCTGGTGGTCCAGTGGTTAAGACTCTGCACTTCCAATGCAGGGGGTGTGGGTTCGATCCCTGGTCAGGGAACTAAGATCCCACATGACACACAGCAACCCCCCCCCAAAAAAAAATCAGAAAAAATGATTTGTTTTTTATAATCAGGAAAAAAATCAAAATTGTATTTTATTTATTCATTCATTCATTCATTTATGGCCAGGCTGCCCAGCTTGTGGGAGCCTAGTTCCCTGACCAGGGATCAGACCCGGGCCCCCTGCTGTGGAAGCACAGCATCCTAACCACTGGACCACCAGGGAATTCCCAAAATTGTATTTTAAAGAAAATGCTTTCTAAATTGTAAACATACACAATGCCTGAAACAGAATGCTTGATAAATGTGGAGTGAATGACTACTCCCCTATCTATCAGGGAAGGACTCCTTTCAAAACAGGAATGTGATCAGTTGACACTCTTAGCTCCCAGGGAACCCATGGTGGCTCTTAGCAATGACTACGTTCATGTCTAAGTAAGAGCTCATAAGCCACCTATGTAATGATTTTTCCCAAAATGTTGCCAGGACCAAATCTCTACCTCACTCTGCTTCCTCACAATTCCTTCAAGATTAGCTGATTGTCCTTTTCTGGGATTAAGACTCCAAGTCATTTCAATCAGCCTGGTGCTTTCCATACCACATCTCACCCACCTTGAGGTTAGGATAGGACTATGGAGCACCACTTCTCAACCATGATGGCTCTGCTCTTCTCAGTTTCTAAGCATGGAAATCAGATAAGAATTCTGTCAGCTAGCATTGTACCATTTGCCTTATCAGGCCCCCTTTAAAAAAATTATTTGTCGTACTACTACGGCTACCACCACAAAACAAAATAAAGCCTCATTTATTTTCTTTGCATTTCTCGAAAAACTCTGGGAACTAACACTTCTAACATTACTTAGAGAACCATACCACTAATTGGTATTGCCAATGGTTTTGCCTGTCTTTAATTGGGTCCTTGTCCTTTTGAGTCTTAGCTGAGGGCTCAGAGAGCATCAGGAGAGGATGTCAGTTTCTTTCTTCCTTTCTTTCTTAATAGTTATTTATTTTTGGCAGCGTTGGGTCTTCGTTGCTGCATGTGGGCTTTTTCTATTGTGGCGAGTGGGGGATATTCTTCATTGCAGTGTGCGGGCTTCTCATTGCAGTGGTTTCTCTTGTTGCAGAGCATGGGCTCTAGGTGCACGGGCTTCAGTAGTTGTGGCACACGGGCTCAGTAGTTCTGGTTCACGGGCTCTAGAGCGCAAGTTCAGTAGTTGTGGTTCACGGGCTTAGTTGCTCCGCAGCATGTGGGATCTTCCTGGACCAGGGCTCGAACCTGTGTTCCCTACATTGGCAGATTCTTTTAACCACTGCGCCACCAGGGAAGCCCTGTCAGTTTCTTTTAAGGCCACAACTTTCGGCCCCAACACTGCACTACCTGCTGTCCCTCTCTCCCACATATTCCACTTTTGAGGAGCTCCTAGCCACTTGAGCATTGTTTTTTTTTTTGGTTTTTGTTTTTTGAGCATTGTTTATTGATTTTTCAAGATTCAGTTTAATCCTTCCCCAAGGTCTCCCTATGCAAAGGAAGGTGCTGGGCATAAAACTCAGACACATTTGTGACACAGGCTAGCTTTAAGTGGTGAGTCAAATGGATGGAAATGGGGCTTAAGGGGACAGCAATGAATTTTCGTGCTCTTTCCCACAGTGCCATAAACCCTAGGGCTGCCTCTGAGTGCCAAGCCAGAGGGCCTGTTGCAGGCTGTCATCTAAAGTGATATCTCTACTCAGGTCACCTTGCCATCTGCTTTGTCAGCTGACTTCGGGGAACTAGCTAAGGAATTGAGAAAATAAACTTCTCAAGTTGATGGGTGTGAATCTTCCAAGTCCATTTCAGATGCACCCGTTAAATAGGTTGTGCTCTGCCCTCCAGGAACCTCTTTCTGAGCTAGCTTGCAGTGTTTGAGAAGGACAGAGGAGATCCCTGAACAGTCTCTGCTTAAGCTCAACTCTGACTCTGGTTACAGGTCCTTTCCCCGGATCTGGCATCCAGAGCCAGCACCTCTGCAGCTCTGGGTTCCAGCTTAGCCAGAGGGCATGCCTCACAGATCCAACACCTGCCACTCCGCTTCTAGCTGAGCCTGTTTTGAGTTTGAGGAATCAATCCCAATCCAGTAAAAGACTTAAAAGCTCAAGGGCTTTGATCTTTGCTTGGCAAAAGCCTTAACTGCTGAGTTCTAAAGGCTTTGCCATTTCCCTTTTTTTAACCTTCTTTCATATAGGCCTCAACCCCACTAAGTAGCAGGTGCCTGCCCAGCGCCAGACCTTTCTCCCTGTGTTTAGAACCTATTTTCAGATGCTCAGAATGTGAAGGGTCGGGGTGGGGGGTGAGAATGCGTTGGGGAAAGGAGGAGGGAAGTTGTTTAAAGGAAGCAGCAGAACAAGAACAAAATTAAAATGCATGTTGGTTATCTAGAACATGGTTGGCCATGTTCTAAAACTTCTTCCCTAAGGGTTTTGAATTGGAAAAAGTGCAAAATGGCTCCAGTTCAAGCAAGGCAGTCAACCTTTCTAACATGGCCTAACATGGTCCACTTACAGGAAACTCAGTGTTATTTTCTCTGATTTTAAACTTGAACCACTCGCGTTGCTGGTATGAGAGGAAAACAACATACATTTAAAAGCAAATTAACTTTCTTCTCACAGCTGGCATAAACCTCACGCCAGCAAGCCTAATTTATCTTCTTGTTTACAGTAGTTTATTTAAAGGGATGTGAATAATATTCTATATAATTTCATAATGTATATATATACTAGGATATATGTGCCTTTCATGCAATTATGGGATGTTTTGACCATTTCTGTGATCTGTTAAAAGTGCATTAAGGACATGATAAAGACCCTGTATTTTTGCAGGCTCTTAATTTTATAATGGACAAAGTACCGATACCTGAAATTCCATTAAAAAACAAACCTCTTCTTGGTCAAATTTAGCAGTGGTTTTAGTGATTTTAACTTCTTCCATTTTAAAGCTTCTGTGAATCCTTTCCTGGCCTCACCCTTGGGTAGGGGGGAGGAGAAGTGTCTAAAAATATAAATGAAAGGAAGGAGAGATCAGAAGCATCTAGATAATCAGATAATTGAAAACTAACTTGGGGTACGTTCTTTTTTGCCCTCTTTCTTTATTGATTTGGGTAATAACATCTCTACTTTGGATTATGTTCAATACCAAGAAAACAAATAGCAGCATTTAAGTTATTAAAAGGAATCAGATTTCATGAAATCATATATAGCTTGGTATTAGGATTAGCATCCTGAAAAATAGGAAAAATACAAAGGGAACGAAAGATGCCCACCAAACTGAGACAGTATCTTGAAACCGAAAAATGAGGCAGGCTACTCCATATAATCAGTGGATCAGCTTATTATAAGGCAGTTTACTCACAGGGTGGGATAGGGTGGATGACATCCAGAAGCATCCATAACTGCCACTGGGAGAATTTTATAGTTAACCTAGGGTATGGGGGTACGTGCTTGGAAACAGGAAGTGAATTCCAAAGTCCAGATTTATGAACGGGTAACTAGTCTCATGGGCACCGGGAATACGTCAGCGAAGCTCTTCATTATTGTTTGGAGACTAACAGCACAGGGGCCACCTGGACCTAATGGTCATTAAACAACATCTATTAACTACAAAGCCCCTGACAACAGAGATTTACTACACAGTACAGCCCTAGGTAGGGTCAGTTGAAGGACGGGAGGAACTGAACAGGCCCAAGATGGCATCAGTTATGCTAACAGCCATACAGTGTGGCAGGGTTCTTCCTGTAAGTGGCTGGTGAAAAGGACCCATGGCTCTGCCTCCTGAATCTGCCTACCTTCATTATTGTTAGCTGGATCAGCCAGGAGTCACACATTGGGTAAGGGCTGTGCATCCATAATTTCCTTTTTTTTTTTTTTTTGTCTGCGTTGGATCTTTGTTGCTGTGCACGGCTTTCACTAGCTGTGGTCAGTGGGGGCTACTCTTCATTGCACTGTGTGGGCTTCTTGTTACAGTGGCTTCTCTTGTTGCGAAGCACGGGCTCAAGGTGCGTGGGCTTCAGTACTTGTGGCTCACACGCTGTAGAGAGCAGGCTCAGTAGTTGTGGCGCATGGGCTTAATTGCTCTGCGGCATGTGGGATCTTCCCGGACCAGGGCTCGAACCCGTGTCCCCTGCAATGGCAGGCGGGTTCTTAACAATTGCGCCACCAGAGAAGTCCTGCATCCATCATTTCTGATGCCCCTTTCATGACGCCCCTTCTCCCCAACTATTGTCCATTGTCCATCTACTTGCAGATGGCAGGATATGAATCATTTTAATTTCACCCTCTCTCCCCATTTAGACATATAATGCAAATGCCTACTTCTGATCTAAAACCGTGTAGTCTTTGGTTAAATGTATAATCAAGTAACAAGTGTAAATGAGTGATACCAGCTCCCTCCTTTTCAAGAGACTATTAGCCAGAAAAGGGCTGGGGAGAAGGAAGGCTAAGGAATGGGTTTACAAGAGAAGGGAAAGGATAAAAAAAGTAAAATTGAGGTTCTAGCTTTTAGCAAACTCACATAAATGCATGCACACATAGACATGGAGGAGCTCCTTGACATGGAAATGAAAACAATAGCATTTCTACTTTACATAACACATCATGGTTTATGTATGTTTGTACTTTTACAGCATAACTGGCTTGTGCTTGTATAAAGGAGCCTCTTTGCCAGGGACTCAGTCAAGGAAACTAAATTGTACATTTAGGGAACACAAGTTTGCAGTACTAGGAGCAGGAAGCAGAAAGCTTTCCCCCACTTTCCTAGGCACAGGGCCAGTCTTCAAGAAATTTCAAAATAAGCTGTTTGGCTTTGGCTTACTCCTACTCTGTATGCAAACACCCAGGGCCTTCATGTGACCTTTAGCTACCTACGGCTACCCAGTACCCTAAAATGTCGTGTGTCGTAACTTATCTAATCTCTCCTTTCTCACTTCAACCCTTATCAAAACTTCCTTTCTCCCAAAGAAGAGGAATAGGGCTCCTTTATTAGCAGAATCTCTTAAACTAATCAATAGTAAGGTAGTATGTCAATGATCAGGTAGTGGACATCTCAGAGATCTGTTTTAAGACACAGAGCTTAAAAATCTCAAAATTAATCTCTAACAGGTAGAATTTCAGGTAAAACAACAGGAAAGTAAAAAAATAAAAGTCAGGTTATATGTATATGCTGGGAGATGAGGTCAACTTTCCAGGTAGCTCATACTGAGCATGTATACAGTTACTTTGGAGCATTTCTACTTTCCATAACTTCCTCCCTTTATCTAAAGCTTAACCCAAAATTCTCTAAAATACCAATGATTGTTCTGGAGATCCCTCCTCACTCACCCACCCAATGAGATAGGAGACTTTGTATGGGGTAGGCAGAGGGAAATGTCACATCACAGAGAGAAAACGGCATACCAGGGTGTAATGTCTTCAGTAAGAGCCTAACTTTCAACCTAATACTAGTATGTTACTGTTCACAATGTATATAATATATAATTTAGGTAAATTATCAAGTTATAAAAATATACAATAAAACCTTATAAGAAACTGAAATAATTGATGCTTGATAATTCTAAGTAAAGACTACAATAAAAATGCAGTTATTGGCTATATTCCATCAATCCTTTTTAATTCTCTTTGATTTTTTCTCCTGGTCCTCTGCTTTCCTTTCTGCAGGTCGCTTCTTCAACCCCTTCATTTTCCTGGTTTGTAGTTTGCTTAGGTCTTGCTTCTGCATATGAATTCTTCCATAAGTTGTACCAAAAGTATCATGAGAGACATTTTTCTTCTTCTTTGGCTATGAAACAAGAATATATTATATTTAGTTGGGTCTACTACCATGAACTGGTAAAAATCTAGTGTACAACAACTATTAACAATCTCCATTAGTGAGCACACCTTTAACGATACAGAGTCTATAGCCCTACAGCCCTTTCTCCTCCAACTTAGGTATAAACAGATCACTCAGAGCTTGTTAAAATGCCAATTCTAATTCAGTAGGACTACGGTGGGATCTGCAAATTCAGCATTTCTAACAATTCTCAGGTAAACTGTCAGACCATACTTTGAGAAGCAACACAACAGACTAATCACTGTCATGCACTGAGAGAATTTCCTGTGTTTAGCTTAAGGATGATAACTATCATTTCAATCTTTATTGGCATTCCAGAGATGCCATGTCTACTTGCTTTTTAAAACCATTCAAAAGTCAAAACACATTGAAATTACATTTTCACAATGCCTAAAATGAGCCCCATTTTTGCTGAAAACTGGCAGTCTTGACTACTAGGAAGCTCTCAGCAACACCTGATGCCTGGTTTCTACAATTTTATTATCAATTATGGTTGGCTTATTTGCTTCTTCCTCCTTTCTTTGGCTCTGAGAGTCTAATTTTATCTATTTTATTGACCTCTTTATGTATGCTCTTCAATATAATATGCCACAAATCCTTTTTTGGAAAGAAGAATGGAATATACAAATAAACATGGCACCAATCTACAAGTCATGTACCTTGAGGGCTTTGGGCATTTTCATAGATAACTTATAAAGGTCATCTGATGCTAGGTGTGTCCTCCTCAGAACCAGATCCAATGAGGGTCCCATCTCCTCCAATTCAATCCGAGGTGTTCTGCAGCCAGATTTCTTCAACAGCAACCTTTATGAAATAGCAAAAAAGAAATGTTGCTTTGACTTTGATAAAAGTCCCGCCGCCCTCCCCGCAAATATTTTTGTTCTAGCAGATTACAGTTCCATAAAGTATCATAAAATGTTTAGAAAGGCTAAGCTTAGAGACTTCCCTGGCAGTCCAGTGGTTAAGGCTCTGTGCTTCCAATGCAGGGGGAATGGGTTTGATCCCTAGTCAGGGAACTAATATCCCAGATACCACATAGCATGGCCAAAAAGATTAAAAAAAAAGGAAAGGCTAAGCTTAATACTTTATATATTTAGACCAAGTATTTTCTTTTTATTTTTTTAAAATAAATTTATTTATTTTATTTATTTATTTTTGGCTGCACTGGGCCTTCATTGCTGCTTGCAGGCTTTCTCTAGTTGCAGCGAGCAGGGGCTACTCTTTGTTGCGCCACGTGGCTTCTCGTTGCGGTGGCTTCTCTTGTTTTGGAGCACAGGCTCTAGGTGCATGGGCTTCACTAGTTGTGGCATGTGGGCTCAGTAGCTGTGGCTCACAGGCTCAGTAGCTGTGGTGCATGGGCTTAGTTGCTCTGCGGCATGTGGGATCTTCCCGCACCAGGGCTCGAACCCGTGTCCGCTGCATTGGCAGGTGGATTCTTAACCACTGAACCACCAGGGAAGCCCCAAGACCAAGTATTTTCTTTAGGCTACTTATTTTCAAAATAAAACATAAGAGTATGCAATATTGTTGAGAAACAGCAGGTGATACAGTTCTAAGAAGTGAAGTGGAATCCTTTTATTTGACTTCTTCATCTTACCAAGATTTACATGATTATTAAAAAATCTTAATTGGGTTTTTGAAACATTATATTACATGATTGATTAACAAATTCTTATTTCTCTAAGACCTATTCAGAATCAACTTTTCTCCATAGCATAGACATTTACTGATCTCTATAGAGTGGAATGAACTTAATATAACAAAACCACAACTTTCTGGATACCATATGTCCAAATAGCTCTGGATTTGAAAGCATATGAAGGATACAATGGGGAGGAAGGGAGACTCACAAATTCTTTTTTTGTGAGAGATACAACAAGAACTGCTCAAAGACCTGAAGGTTATTTGAGTTAAAAGACTCAATTTGTTACTGTGGCCAGATCTCCATACAGGAGGAAAAAAGGACTAAATAATAGTGTTTTTAAAAGATCAGCCTTGGGCTTCCCTGGTGGCACAGTGGTTGAAAATCTGCCTGCTAATGCAAGGCACACGGGTTCGAGCCCCGGTCTGGGCAGATCCCATATGCCACGGAGCAACTAGGCCCGTGAGCCACAACTACTGAGCCTGCGCGTCTGGAGCCTGTGCTCCACAACAAGAGAAGCCGCGAGAGAGGCCCGCGCACCGCGATGAAGAGTGGCCCCCGCTTGCCACACTAGAGAAAGCCCTCACACAGAAAGTTAAGAACTATTGCCCAGAACCTTTACACCCCATGTAAATCTCCATTTCAGATCTTAACTTCAAGCTTTGTTTGTTTTGTTTCCCTATAAGCTCTAAATCAAAAGTGACATTCGGGCTTCCCTTGTGGCGCAGTGGTTGAGAGTCCGCCTGCCGATGCAGGGGGCGCAGGTTCGTGCCCCGGTCCGGGAGGATCCCACGTGCCGCAGAGCAGCTGGGCCTGTGAGCCATGGCCGCTGGGCCTGTGCGTCCGGAGCCTGTGCTTGCCTATTTCTTGAGAAAGACTGGCATTACCACTCTTTTTTAAATTGCAATTTCCTTATTTTTCTCCCTTCCATATCCCTCTCTTCTGTTGACATTCTGTTTTCATTACTTAACTCCTTGCCTAGAACGTTGTGTTTGCTTTTTAAGGTATGCTAATACTTCCTGTTTTGCATATTTCTCCCCATAAAACCTACCCAATGCCATGGCAAAGGCATACGTGGCAGTTACTAAAGATCTTCAGTTTCATATTAATAGCTCTGGCCCTATAGTGAATAAAATTCTCCAAGGAATTAATTATTATAGGATATACAGGAAGGTGCCAGTAACACTATGATTTATTTCCCCAAAAGAGGAAAGGTCAAAGGTTCTATTAATGTAATTCCATGCTCAGAGTTCCTTTCATACAAGAAGCTCAAAACCATTTTATAAGCCTTACTGATCTTCACAAATTAATAAGCGTCAATATTAACTACTACCTTTAACCAACTGCCTAAGGGCTGGTTGGAAGAGGGCAGGACACCCAAGAGCAGCCTGTGAGAATGCCTGAGGAGCCACAGTAGGTCAGACACACTTCTACGGCACATTCCCACCTCTATCTGCACCCCTCTCCCTCTCATAAAGGAGAATTATCCGTCTCAGAGGGACCTCAGAATTACCTATATGATATTACTACACTTTGCAAAGGAAAAACAGGGGCCCTGAGAAGTGACTTGCCCATGTCATGTGGCAAAGCCTGGCAAAGAGCCAGGTCACTAGGCTCAGAGGTGATGCTCATTCCCGGGACCACCTCTTCCTTCCCCTCCCAAGCAGAGCACAGCCCTTGGAGGCTAAGCTAATCCACATCTAGGGATTTTCCCCAGTAGCAGCTTGCTCTCAATCACACTGTCCATTTTCTATTTCAAATCAATAGCTAGCAGGTATTACAGGATATAGATATGAAAAGCTGGGATTAAAATTTTACACTGGGGGGCTTCCCTAGTGGCGCAGTGGTTGAGAGTCCGCCTGCCGATGCAGGGGGCGCAGGTTCGTGCCCCGGTCCGTGAAGATCCCACATGCCGTGGAGCAGCTGGGCCCGTGAGCCACGGCCGCTGAGCCTGCACGTCTGGAGCCTGTGCTCCACAACGGGAGAGGCCACAACAGTGAGAGGCCCGCGTACAGCAAAAAAAAAAAATAAAAATTTACAATAGGGTTTCTGATCTTAAAAATTCAGATCTTGGGACTTCCCTGGTGGTCCGGTGGTTAAGAACCTGCCTTCCAATGCAGGGGACGTAGGTTCGATCCCTGGTCAGGGGAACTAAGATCCCACATGCCACAGGGCAACTAAGCCCTGTCACAACTACTAAGCCCATGGGCCTCAACTAGAGAGCCCATGTGCCACAAACTACAGAGTCCACGCACTCTGGAGCCCATGCACAACTAGCGAAGCCTGCATGCTGCAACTGAAAGATCCTGCATGGTGCAAAGAAGACCCTGAGTGCCGCAGCTAAGTCTCAATGCAGCCAAAAATAAATAAATACATACATACATAAATAAAATAATTTCGTAAAAAATTCAAATCTTTTTTTTTTCATTATGGCAGATGCCATGCTAACCTAACAGTGATTCCAGCAATTACATACTTCTTAAAGTAAGTGGATGGACGAATATGTGTAGTTACACTGCCAATTTATCCTTGTTCTTAAGACTGATTTGCTAATTTTCTGTCCATTTTGCTTTATTTCTCTGTATTTTCTTTCTTTCTTTACAAATTTATCTTTCTTTTCACTAAATACAAGTTCTGATACAAGAGAATACTTCCTTTGAAATTGTTCACCATGAGTTTTAGATGATTATTATTCATTTCTCATTCTCAAAGACTTTTATCTTTATTTTTTAGCTCCTTTGTATCCCAGGGTCTCCTTGTTTAACATAAGTTTTCAAAAAGATTTTTTTTTATGTTAGTGATTTTTCATCTTTTATCTCTTGCTCTATAAATAGGAGTCACCTACTTCATAATATTCTTAGCTGCCCCAAAATCAAGTTTGGAAATGAAAACAACAGATTATAGGGACTTTCAATCTCAACTAGTTAAAAATGATTATAAAATCCTTTGCCTGTTATTATTTAAATGAGAAAAAAATAGAAAAATAGAAATGGTGGTACCGCTCATGTGGTGAAAAGAACCGAGCATCTCTGACTCCATACAGTTGAGACAAAGATGGAAATTACTAACAAAAAAGACGTGATTACTTAGTTCATTTGGATGTTCACTGGACACAAGCTGGTCAACCATGTATTCCATTATGATAAAAAAACAAAATTAAAACCATGGATGAAATGCTGAAGTCCACGAATGGTTGCACAAACGGCACCACTGCACGAAGACACTGTCAACACTGGGCTGTCGGCGCTCAGGCCGCACTGCCACGCCACAGCGTGAAGCAGACGTCAGGCTGAATTCAATGTACCAAGGGAGGCAGTTAGTGGGAGTCAATGTATTCTCTAGGAAAGTGTGTGCTCCATCAATCAGAGCTAACACTTTATTTTAAATAAGGGAAAAAACAAGTCATGCTTACCTCAAAAGGCAGTTGCAGCACGTCATTAAGGTTTTTATGAAAACAGAATGTGCTTGTTAGGACTTATATTTATATTGTGGTGGGGGTATGGGTAGAGGCCTGGGCTGGAGAAAGAAGGTAAAATGAATCTAGCTACTGAGTCTTCTTATTATTTTCAGACTCCATTTTTTAGACTCAGGACTTTGAGATTTGCTTTGGCTGGGCTAAGACTTGTGGCTTGGCGCTCTAAGTTTAGTCAAGAAAAACAGGGAGATACTGCATAAAAGCATGGCAAGTTAGGACTGAATAAGCGTTCTAAGCTCAGAGGGAGTGTAGTGTTTGATGCCCCAGGGCCCTGGAAAAGCAGGGTTTCCGGGAGGCAGAAGTTAGCAGAGGAGTGACAGACCTGAGGATCAGCACAGAGCTACTTTGTCACTGCTATTCTGAAAACTCTCCAAATAAACTTTTGGCCAGACACCAATTCTAAGTCTGAGCTCTATAAAACAGTCACACTAAAATGCTAACCCTGAGGATTAACAAAAACATGCTAAGAAATGCACTTACTTATAGCTTCGAAAGTAAATCTTCCCATTCAGTGCAGTGAAGTGCAGAACATACTCTAAACCAGCCAGACGGACATTTGATACTGTGGGGCCTCTGAAGAAATCTAAAAGCACACATCAGGTTGTTTGAAAAAAAAAAAAAAAGATTAACGTACCTTTAAAATTCAGTTACAAATCAGCTGCATTCTAAACGCAACTCTCTGTATCTTATCTAAAAAGCAGCACAAAAACTCATGCCTGAAAAATCTGATGGTCCCGCCCCTCTACCATTTAATCTCATGACTGTATTTCTGTTTAGTTCACTGAGCCATGTAATTTTTCAGTTTTGCAGTTCTCCCTCTAAGCCAATGCTCAGCACCAGAGTATAACAGGTTTATTGTGAATAGTAATTTTTTAGAAAATGTAAAACAAGGTATACAATTTTAATCAACTAAGACAGATAGGTTAAGATGGCAAAAGTCTATAAAAATGGCTGTTCAAACTTTGACTATTAAATTGAACTAGTGTTTGTTATATGGCAGACGCCAACAAACAAGAAAATTCTAACAAGGTATCTCAATTATATGAGCAAAGAAAAGCTATCTAGTGTCAAAGCCAGAAAAGAACCATCAAGATCAATGAGTAGACTGTTTTCCCACAGAGTGGTAATAATACCCAAGTGGCACATATGAGATAATTTTAAATGATACACAGGCAGATATAATCTACAATGCATTATTTATGTTATCATACACCATTTTCCACTGAGAGTAGGGACACAGGGTTTCCTTTTAAAAAGAGGAGTCAGAGGCTTCCCTGGTGGCGCAGTGGTTAAGAGTCCGCCTGCCAATGCAGGGGACACGGGTTCGTGCCCCGGTCCGGGAAGATCCCACATGCCGCGGAGCAGCTGGGTGAGCCTGCGCGTCCGGAGCCTGTGCTCTGCAACGGGAGAGGCCACGGCGGTGAGAGGCCCACGTACCGCAAAAAATAAAAATAAAAAAATAAAATAAAAAGAGGAGTCAATTTAAAGAAAAATCTCCAGTGAACAATGCTATGGATACTACACGGACATGGCTAACCTTATGAAGGTGGCACATGAATGAAAAGAGTTTGGAAAACAGCAAACAGGTTTGGTCACCTCATTTTACAGATAAAAAGATTGAACTTGGGGGGAGGCTAAATGGGAACACACGAATAACATCTAGCTAAGAAAAAGTTATGCATAAAAGGGTCATCCAAATTAATTACTTAGGAAGAGGTGCCCTAAGACAGGTGATGTCATAAACAGGAAATATCTCATTCTGTCCCAATCTGTAGCCACTCAGCACTTGCTTCCCTCCTCCCATTAGCTCATAAGATGGGAATTATCTCCATGTGCATGGACATATACATCTTCTACAGTTTGCTTTTTCCTTCTTATAGATAACTAAAAGAAAATCACATCACTAACATACATAAAGCAGACGTTAAGTGTGCATACCCTTGTACACACCACCTTTCCTTACTACCACAAATAAAAATCCCTTGGGGGTACTTTTATAAACCAAATATGTACTTTTTCAAGGTATTTTGATCTAAAAATTCACTTTAATTAATGAAGAACTTTTCCATAGTTTTGCCAAAACCTGACTCTCCTTCAGTGGCCAAGCTAATAAAGCCCCACTCACGGTTGTGGCAGCATTATTGAAGTCAGAGTCATTCTGGGGAACAAGATATGTACATTCCAGTCTCCCCTGAAACAGTTTTTGTAATGCAAACCTTACAGGCATGTGCTTTTTCCATAAGCTTTTAAGAAAGAAAAAAAAAACAAAAAAAGAATGAAATGAGGTAGAAAGTTTTAAGAACATTGACCCTTACCTCACACCATACACAAAAATTAACTCAAAATGGATCATAAACCTAAATGTAAGATCTAAAGTTATAAGACTTCAAAAAAATATTTGTAAGAGAAAAAAATCTTCGCAATCTTGGGATAAGCAAAGGTTTCTTAAACAAAACACTGTATGAACAACCATTAAAGAAAAAAATTGGATAAAGTACACTTCACAAAAATTTAAAATTTCTGCTCTTTAAAAGACATCACTGTTTGCAGATGACATGATACTGTACATAGAAAATCCTAAATATGCCACCAAAAAACTACTAGAGTTCGTCAATGAATACAGTAAAGTTGCAGGATATAAAATTAATACACAGAAATTTGTTGCATTTCTATACACTAACAGCGCACTGTCAGAGAAATACCTAGGAATAAACCTACCTAGGGAGTTAAAAGACCTATACTGGAAACCTGTAAGACATGGATGAAAGAAATTGAAGACAACACAAACACATGGAAAGATATACTGTGTTCACGGATTGGAAGAATTAATATTGTTAAAATGACCATAATACTCTATAGATTCAATGCAACCCCTATCAAAATACCAATGCCATAGAACTAGAATAATTTTAAAATGTGTATGGAAACACAAAAGACCCAAATAGTCAAAACAATCTTGAGAAAGAACAGAGCTGGAGGAATCATGCTCCCTGACTTCAGACAGACACAAAAACAGATACATGGATCAATGGAACAGAATAGAGAGCCCAGAAATAAACTCACATACTTAAGGTCAATTAATCTATGACAAAGGAAGCAAGCATATACAATGTTGAAAAATCTCTTTGGTAAATGGTGCTGGGAAAACTGGACAGCTACACATAAAAGAATGAAATCAGAACATTTTCTCACACAATATATAAAATAAACTCAAAATGCATTAAAGATCTAAATGTAAGACCAGAAACTATAGAACTCCTAGGAAAAAAAATAGGCAGAACACTCTTTGACATAAATCGTAGCAATATTTTTTTTTGAACCTGTCTCCTAAGGCAAAGGAAGCACAAGCAAAAATAAACAAACGGGACCTACTTAAACCTAAAAGCAGAAGACCTGACTAGACATTTTTCCAAAGAACACATACTGATGGCCAACAGGCACATGAAAAGATGATCAACACTGCTAATCATCAGAAAAATGCTAATCAAAAGCACAATGAAATATCATCTTACACCAGTCAGAATGGCTATCATCAAAAAGACCACTAATAACAAGTGTTGGTGAGGATGTAGAGAAAATGGAGTCCTTGTAGGAATGTAAGTTCTACAGGCACTGAGGAAAACAAGATGGAGGTTCCTAAAAAACTAAAAATAAAACTATCATATCCAGCAATTCCACTCCTGGGTACATATCCAAAGAAAACAACACACTAATTTGAAAGGATACAGGTACTACCTCAATGTTCACAGCAGCATTATTTACAATAGCCAAGATATGGAAGCAACCTAAGTGTCCATACACACACACACACACGCACACACACAAACATACATACAATGAAATACTACTCAGCCATAAAAAGAATGAAATTTTGCCATTTGCAGCAACATGGATGGACTTGGAGAGCATTATGCTAAGTGAAATTAGTCAGAGGAAGACAATGTATGATATCACTTGTATGTGGAATCTAAAAAATACAACAAACTAGTGCACATAACAAAAAGGAAGCTGACTCACAGATATAGAGAACCAGTGGTTACCAGTGGGGAGAGGAAAAGGGGAGGGGCAAGAGAGGGACACAGGCTTAAAGGTACAAACTACTATGTATAAAATAAATAAACTACAAGGATATACTGTACAGCACAGGGAATATAGCCAACAATTTATAATAACTGTAAGTGTAGTATAATCTTTAAAAATTGTGAATCACTATGTTGTATACCTGAAACTTACATAATATTATAAATCAGCTATACCTCGATAAAAATTTTTTTTTTAAAAGACATCATTAAAAACAAAAAGGCAAGGGACTTCCCTGGCGGTGCAGTGGTTAAAGACTCCGTGCTGCCACTGCAGGGGAAGCGAGTTTGATCCCTGGTTGGGGAACTAATAAGATCCCACATGCTGCATGGTGTGGCCAATAAATAAATACATAAATCAATAAAACAAAAAGGCAAGCCACAGACCAGGAGAAAATATTCAAAGATTATATGTCAGACAGACAAAAGACTTATCTCTCACACACACACACACACAAACACATACACACTCTTCCACATTAGTTCTCAATAAAAAGACAAATAACCAAATAAAAAAATCAGGCAAAGATCTGAACAGACACTTTACCAAAGATATACAAATGGCCAATAAGCACATGAAAAGATGTTCAACATTATTAGTCACCAGAAAATGCAAATTAAAACTGCAACACTACCACTCCTTTATTTTGTAGATTTGACTTTGGAAACATACTACTGTCAGTATTCAACACCTATTAGAGTAACTAAAATTAAAAAGAACGGCCTACCAAGTATTGACAAGGAGATGGAGCACCTACAGTTAGTGGGAATGCAAAATAGTGCAACCATGTTGGAGAACAGTTTGGCAGTTTCTTAAAAATGTTTAACATAGGGCTTCCCTGGTGGCGCAGTCGTTGAGAATCTGCCTGCCAATGCAGGGGACACGAGTTCGAGCCCTGGTCTGGGAGGATCCCACATGCTGCGGAGCAGCTGGGCCCATGAGCCACAACTACTGAGCCTGCGCGTCTGGAGCCTGTGCTCTGCAACAAGAGAGGCCACGACAGTGAGAGGCCCACGCAAAAAAAAAAAAAAAAAAAAGTTTAACATATGCTATTCAAATGATCCAACCATTCTATTCCTAGGTATTCACCCAAAGGAAATGAAAACATAGGTCCTCACAAAAATTTGTATATAAATGTTTACAGCAGTTCTACTGGTAATAATTAAAAGCTGGAATCAATCTAAATGTCCATCAAGAGATGAAGGTATAAACAAACTGCAGAATAGCTATAAATGGAATACTGCTCAGTTATAAAAAGAAATGGAGGATTGATACATACAATAACATGAATGAATCTCAAAACAAACTGGGTGAAAGAAATCAGGCCAAGAAAAGTACATAGTCTATGATTCCATTTACCTAAATTCTGAAAAATGCAAAAATGACAGAAAGCAGATCGATGTTTGCTTAGAATAGAGAAAAATAATGGATTACCAAAGGGCACAGGGAAATTCTGGGGGGTGATGGAAAGGTTCTATATCTTGATTGCAGTGGTGTTTTTAGAGGTATATAAATATGTCAAAATCCATTAAATTTTAAAACTTTAAATATGTGCATTTGGACTTCCCTGGTGGCGCAATGGTTAAGAATCCATCTGCCAATGCAGGGTTCGATCCCTGGTGCAGGAAGATCCCACATGCCGCGGAGCAACTAAGCCTGTGCGCCACAACTACTGAGCCTGTGCGCTAGAGCCCGCATGCCACAACTACTGCAGCCCGCGCGCCTAGAGCCCGTGATCCGCAACAAGAGAAGCCACCGCCTGCGCACCGCATTGAAGAGTAGGCCCCACTTGCTGCAACTAGAGAAAGCCCATGCGCAGCAACAAAAACCCAACGCAGCCAAAAAATAAATTAAAACTTTTAAAAAAAGAATTAAAAAAAGAATTTAAAAATAAATACGTGCACTTGATTGTATGTAAATCATACCCCAAAAAATAATTTATAATGAAAAAACTTAATAAAGTTATCCCTAAAAATTGAAAACAAAATGAAATGAACCTGTGTATTGGGCTGAAGGCATAATCATACAGAAAAGGACTGTTTCAAGTGACTTCAAAACACAGTAATTTGACCATATTCCTAATAGGATATATAGACATATAGAACTGCAAAAAAAAAACACACACACAAAAAACAAAACACCCTTCAGTTGCACTCAATATTCATACTACCAGTAGTAATAATAGTATTTTATTCTGAGACTGTTGTATGTGTAGTACAGTATAAAGTAAATGCATCGTTATGTTGGAGTCATTGAGAACCTGGATTTTTGTCATGGATGAAAGAAGGTACGTACGTGTACATATCCTTCTGTCCTAAATTTGAGTTCGAAGTTTCAGTATGAACTCAGGATATATTTTATCTTAACAAATAAATCTCATAGTTCTGTCCACTGAAAAAGCCTAGAAACAATGACCAACCCAGAAATACTCCCTAGCACACAAAATGTGATTTCTAAAATAATCTCACTTAAAAAAAAACCCAGGATCCTTACAGAAATAGCTGATTCCAGGACTGGAGCAATTAAAGTACAAGAGGAGTCTATAACATCAAGGGGGTGATGGATTAAAATGTGTTGAAACTCAGAGCACTGTCAAAAAGGCTGACCCTAAACTGGACAGGAATGATGGTTGAGGTAAAAAGGGAGATATTATGAGAATAGGGATAAGGAGAAAAACCTGGTTAAACAGAAATAAGGGGGTAGAAGATAAATTGGTTATAATTAGAAAGAAAGCCCCAGTTTGGACATTTTTTCAATGGATCAATTCCAAGCAAAAATAACATCTTTAGTGTGTCTGTGCCCATGAGTAAAAACACTGGGAAAGGGCACAGGAGGATGACCAGGGTGTTGACGGGAAAGACTGGGGGATGTGGAGTCAGAGAATGGATAAGATCCTGATTCTGACACTTACTAACTCTTCACTCTGGACATCAGTGAACTGGTCTCAATTTCTTCATCCACAACATGGGAATAATATTACCATAATGAACTGAATGTTTGTTTAACCTCTAGTGTGACTATATTTGGAAATGAGGCTTCTAAGGAAGTACTTAAGGTTAAATGAGGTATGTCATAAGGGTAGGGTCTGCTCCCATAGGATTAGAGTCCATATAAGAAGAGACACCAGAAAACTTAAACCCCTCTTTCCTCTGTCTATCTCCCTCCTTCCCTTCCTCCCCAAGGAAAAGCCTTGTAAGCACAAAGCAAGAAGCCAGCAAGAGAGTCCTCACCAGAAACCTGGACTTCTAGAACTGTGAGAAAATAAATTTCTGTTGCTTATAAGCCACCCAGTCTATGGTCTTTTGTATGGCACCCTGAGCAGACTAATACAATTATCTCTGTAGAGCTGTAGAAAAGATTAAATTTAATAAATTACCTGACCTAATCTATGGCAGTTATTTTCATTATTATATGTATTAAAGTGGAATAAGAATTAGGAAATGAGAAAGGTTAAAAAAAATTAAAACAATGACCACAGATGTAGATATGACCACTAATATAGACAAAGGCAATGAAGAACAAAAAAAAAAAACCCAGTTAGGTAGTTAAGTTAAAGGTAGGCTTTAAAGGGACACTTAATAAAACTAACCTATTACTTGATTCATTATCATCTTTACATACAAGGAGTAGTCATACTAAAAAATAACCATAAAAAGTAGGATGCACTGGGAGTTCCATGGCGGTCTAGTGGTTAGGATTTGGCGCTTTCACTACTGTGGCCCAGGTTCAATCCCTCGTCCTTTTTGGGGAACTGAGATCCCACAAGCCACATGGCACAACCAGAATTAAAAAAAAAAATTAGGATGGACTGAATCAAAAAACAGGCACTGGTTTTCTGTAAAGAAAAGCAGGACCTGCTAAGATTAACTACAAATCTATATAATATTTAAAGCAAAAGAGAAGCAAAATTCGAATGAACAAAATGGGTATCTGGCATGAAAATACTGAAGTTAACTTTTCTTTCTGGCCAATTACAAAAAGAAAACAAAAACACAACTTCCAAACAGGAAAAAAGCCCTTGATAAAATTCTCTTTACCTACATTATTTCATTTGAAATAATTCTCTTTACCTACATTATTTCATTTGAATACACAACACAAACCAAGAAGTCTGCAACTTTCTTACTTCTTATTTATATTAAAAACTCAACTTTGCTTAGTGCCAGACAATGTCACTCCATCCTGCTACCTGTCTTTCTTCTTTCTTAATTCCTTTTTGGTTTTCACTCCCTCCCTCTCATTACTGCATCATGTGGTTATTCCTGCCATCTAGTGGAAGCACAAAATAGTAAGATAAAACCATTTAAACAGAAGCTACAAAGCTCTGTTATAACAAATTATAAGTACTTCCCTCACTAATAATAATTATACAGAAGAACAAGGGGAAAAAAGCAGGAAATCTGAGCCAACGCAGTACAAATACTAGGAATCTTGGCTAAAAAAACTCCCTTGATGTTTTGGGCTATGTAATATTCAAAGAAATGTTGGTCGCTGTCTTCCATGTATGATTTTTTTTTAATTAATTTATTTTTTTGGCTACGTTGGGTCTTTGTTGCTGCATGCGGGCTTTCTCTAGTTGAGGTGAGTGGGGGCTACTCTTCGTTGCGGTGCAACATGCAATGCAGGCTTCTCATTGCAGTGGCTTCTCTTGTGGAGCATGGGCTCTAGGTGCGTGGACTTCAGTAGTTGTGGCACGCAGGCTCAGTAGTTGTGGCTCACAGGCTCTAGAGCGCAGGCTCAGCAGTTGTGGTGCACGGGCTTAGTTGCTCCGTGGCATGTGCGATCTTCCCGGACCAGGGATCAAACCCGTGTCCCCTGCATTGGCAGGCGGATTCTTAACCACTGCATCACCAGGGAAGTCCCTTTCTTTTTTTTTTAATTCATGGAAAACAGAGGTAAGAACCTATAGCAAAGACTCTGCAAAGGAATTATTCACCATGGGCAGGATGAAGAGCAGAAGCAGAAAAGCACAGGCTTTGGGTTTTGATTCTGCTTCACCTACTTAATGGCTCTTAACCTCTCTGAGCCTCCAACTTCCCATCTGTAAAATGAAATGTTACCAAACTCAAGAGTTTTAGTAAGGATTAAACAGGTAACAGTGATACTTAGTTTTTCAAAAATAGCCATTATGAACAAGAGAAATGAGAAGTCCCGAAAACCGTATTCCTAACAATAAGAGCATAACTAATCCCAATAAGGAAAACCGAAAGCAATGTGTCTGCCCACAAACATTTGGTTGGCTCAGATTTGTAAACAGCATGTATATAATTTATAATATATCCCCCACCAACTTTTCAAAAGTCATCTAGGGCAAAGTATATAAAAATCCAAAAGAAGGGCAACCAAAAAAGTTAAGCCATAGCTTGTAAGAATGGTGCAAGAAAAGCTCAAATAGAATAAATTATTTAAACTTTAGAAAATGCCACTGAGTATAAGAAGAGTTCATATCTCTAGGGACGAACTAAATTACCTTCCAGAGTAAGAACAGAGCTGGCAGATGAGATCACACAATATTAAGTATTAGTAACCGTTAAGAAACCACGGAGAACAATAATGTCAGCTTTTCAAAAAAGGAGAAAAAAAGTGGTTTAAAATTGGTAAATTTAACATCAATCTCAGACAATAACTATATATTGTATATTGGATTTTAAGAAGGTGGCTTGTGAACACATAAAAAGTAATGTAGTCATTAGATAAAACATTAGGAATGAGCAGAGTTCACTAAGAACCAATCACCTTTAAAACAACCTTACAAGGTTTTTTTTGTTTTTTTTTAAATGGAAAAGGGAGGAATGAAATTGGTGGAGATTAAGAAAGCAAGTTATACGGGGTTATAGTGTGAAAAGCCTTGTATATCAGACTAAGAAAAACTAATAAAGGTTTTTGAATTGGAAGTGGATGATGTATAATAATCTTGAAAATTTAACTTTTCAATTTTCTAAATTTAATAATGCCAATAATGACAGGAGACGGGTGCAAGCATTAAACAGGTTGCTACCAAAGTTACTATACCATCAAAAAGTAATAATGATCTATAGAGTATAGCATCCTTTTAACTCTCTCCTGCTTCTAGTGGGGAATAAACAAAATAATGAAAAGGAGAAAAAGAGATCAAAGAGAAAAAGCTGTATATCTAGAGTGAAGTTGCAAACTGCCATGACCAACGGCAACTCTTAGAATGCCGACCTGAGCTATCCTGCAGATATGTATTAAAAAAATACTTACCAATAAGAAGGCTTTTTAGCCTTCTGTAGTCTTCTGTTACATCAAAATCATCACCTGCAAATATTAACATGGGTTTTGTTCCCTCCGGACATTTACTATTCTAGGAAATAAAAAAAAGTAATTATATAATTATCAAGTCTAAATTGTTTATATGCTGATTTTAAAGCAGTCAATATTTATATATAGCAGGGGTCCCCAACCCCTGGACTGGCATCAGTCCTCGGCCTGTTAGGAACCGGGCCGCACAGCAAGAGGTGAGCGGCAGGCGAGTGAGTGAAGCTTCATCTGCTGCTCCCCCTCGCTCGCATTACTGCCTGAACCATTCCCCATCCCCCCATCCATCTGTGGAAAACTTGTCTTCCATGAAACTGGTCCCAGATGCCAAAAAGGTTGGGGACCGCTGATAATACAGTGACTCATTTTCACATTTTCTTAACTGTCCTAAAACTATGTCTATGAATGCTGATTTTATTTATTTATTTAGTTTGGCCACACGGTACGGCATGCAGACTCTTAGTTCCCCAACCAGGAATTGAACCCGTGCCCCCTGCAGTGGAAGCACGGAGCCTTAACCACTGGACCACCAAAGATGTCCCTATGAACACTGATTTTAGACTTAAAACCAGAGTGGGGATTTTTTAATTTACAGATTTTTATACTAAAAAATGATTTTTCATTCCACTCCCTCTTAGTGCCAAATTAATAAGTGATTAAAGAATGATGTAAGCTACTTTTTATCACTTTCTATGCAAAGAATAAAATAAAAAGCTAAACTTGCGGCAAAACAAACACAGCCCTCTAACAGCCAACATCTCAGAGTCAAAATAAATTTAATTTCTTTGAATTATTTGTAACAATGTGCCTTTCCTACTATGTCACACCAGCAGTATTTTTAAATGAAAGCTAAACTGAACTACCAACTAAACATTAACATGGGAAGCAATATAATGTTATACAAGCTACAGAAAATATGGGCAATCCTCACTCAGCAGGATCGAAGCTCTACTCTAAAAGATATTTTGTCTCGTTCTGGATTTTCTTTTCTTTCTTTTTTTTGGCTGCACCACACAGCTTGTGGGATCTTAGCTTCCACACCAGGGAATGAATCCGAGCCCTCGAGAGTGAAAGTGTGGAGTCCTAACACTGGACCGCCAGGGAACTCCCTAGTTCTGGATTTTCTATACCAAAAAGAATGTGAATTTTTGTTTTACCAAAGTGAAAGAAAAAATCAAATAGAAAAAATTCTTTAACTGAAGGGTTAATTTATGGAGGAAGAAGAATCGGTCTGAGCTTCCCACTGATTCTAATATCTCTGCCTTGACACTAATCAAGGTTTATCCAAGTGTAGGGGGTGGGGGCAGACAGGACCACAAACAAACAAACATCCTCTGCCCTTGGACCAGAGGTCACGTGTTGCTTCCCTGTTCACCATGACCACTCTTGTTGACATTCCCTGCTTCCAACACGAACCTGAACTGTCTAAACTTAGGAGATGGGCCTAAAATCTGTCTGTCTGATTGTGGGCCTGAATAGACCTTCCAGACCCAATGACTCTTCTGTGTTCCACCTGTGCCCAACTAACCTTTAATTTTAAATCATCTCATTTCTTAGGCTTATTTTATGCAGAATAACCATCCCTAGAATTTTGGCTATCTTAGAAAACAGGCTTCTAGAATAATCACTCTATTTCCTGGTAGCATCTAATCACCTGTTGCTTAAGAGTTAACAGAGGGATGAGGCTTGGCAATAAAAGTAAGCAAGAAAAGAAATATCTGGTAAAGATGTCTTAAAAACGAGGAGGTAGAAATAAAGAAGAAATAAATATGGAAGGAAAGTGCAACAAAACATGCAACTCCAAAACAAACTAAAAATACGAGGTTGTAGCCAAATAACGGGGTCAAAGTGAAGGGGACTGGCTAATAGTCTATGTAGGAACTGCCAATGTAAGCACATTCTCATCAATTAATGAATTTTATAGTTATGGATATGCTCCATGAGTGAAAATTTAGTACTCAATTTATTTTTATTTTTCTTCCCCACACCAAAACAGTACTTTATTTTGTAAATTTTGACCCATTATTACTCCCATGTTATGGTTTTTTCAGCTGTCAAGTGTACAAGGTGAAGAAAAAATTTAGTTAGATGGGGGTTGCACCTGGAAAATAAATTTCTTAAACTCCATATACACGTTTCAAAACTGCTGGGTCCCAAGTCCATCTATGAACCCCCGGGCTGCCAGTATCATGTGCAGCACACTAAAGCTACACTATCTGAATAGCTTATTAATTCTGCATAAATCAGGTCAATCAATGTGTCAACCTGTAACAGACTGCACACTTTTAACTGAACATGGCAAAATATTCACTCTCTAGAACTTTACATCATCATTTGATGTCAAACAATGAAGCAAATCCCAACAGTATATACAAAAAACAGCTGTGCATTTACAAAAGATTGTTCCCATACTGATTAATCCAGGCAGCTAACTCATTGGTTTATGCAACTTTATTGAACAAAAATAAATCAATTACTAGCAGAGCTATTAGTTGATCACTCATCCATTGACAACTTGCATCATTTATTCAGTGCTATATTAAACAGTGTACTGGAAGATAGATTAACTAATAGCTCCAAGCCTCCTAATAATTTAAATGAAAATTACAAAATGTTTGAGACCCTATTTTGGAATACAAAGGGTGTTTGACTTCCAATTTCCATTCTCTGTAGAACAAGAACAGGTCATTCCTTTGTTGACATGCATAAAATACATCGCATTTTCTGTCCTGCTGATGCTATAAATTCAATACCAATTTTCCAGCCACGTCAGTTACGAGCATAAAGTATATCATGTAACCTCAAATCTCTAACAGTGGAAGGCTTACACATGAATGGATGCTGCTAGAATAATGCTGCTTTCTTTGATGTGATAACTCAGCATCCATCTCCCTCCCCCTCAGATGATTCTTCAGCATGTTAGAGCAGTGAGGAATGGTTTTAGTCTCATAACCAAGTTACAGTGAAGACACTGGCCACATAATACACATGCTCCATTTTTTAAAAAATTCTGAATCTTGGGCAACTGTTCTCTTGTAACTACTTTACAGTTTCTAAAAGCATTTATTGTCCAAAGCTGGAAGGACTTAAGTCTTCTCAGATGAGCATGTGAATGAATGGAGGGAGGTAAACAAAAAATAAAATTAAAAAAGATAAGGTCTGATGGGGAGCAGCCGGATAAGAAAATCAAAAAAGGAACAGTAATTTAAAGTTTATTCCAGCTATAATGCAGGTTATTCTGACTTTAAGGTAGCATCACATGGCATACTTCTGAGTCTTTCCCGAGATATTCTGTTGTACTTATCTCTCTCTGTTTCATAGATCCGTGCAATCTCTGGCACTAGAGGGTCATGTGGGTTTTGGATCACATAGCAGTGAACAAATGGATAAAAGAACTTTAGAAATAGTTAAAGCAGGAGAACACTGTGATCTTAGAATATCAAGACAAATGCTGCCATTACTGTTAATATTTGGATGATAAATTCTTGTTGTAAATGCAACCTTAGGTGGTTTGAAGGGGTAGTCTGTAGGAAAATGAACTGTCCAAAGGAATACACCACCTTGATATGGGCTGTCATTAGGTCCCATAATTGTGGCTTGCCAATGAAACATATCATCCCCAACTGAACCTGCAAAACATTGCGCTGGAGGGTCACGGGCCAAATCACTAAGTTCCTTATTAATCCGTTTCAGCACCATCGTCTGTGCTTTTCACCTGGCTCCTCACTATTTCGGTGTGTGCTCAAAGTTCCGGCCAAAACTCTTGATGATCCCGGCGGCTGGGAAGGATTGTCTCTTGGTCTCACACCAGCTCTGCCATACACAGGTGCAGAGGGGCCGGGGCCTCCCTCAAGCTGCGGCCTCGGCCTCCTCCCTGCGCGGCAGCTGGTGCCTCCCTGGCCCTAAGGGGCTCACGCGCACGACACAGCCACAAGATCTAGTACTCAATTTAAATGGTTCTTGTTAAGAATACGCCTGCCAAACGATACTGATTTTGTGGTTCAGTTTAGAAGCTGCACCGTGACGGGGTATTTCTTTGCTTTGGAAGGGAAGTGGAAAGAGCAGAGGGGTTGGCATGCAGGCATCAGCCACTGCTCACACCCACTAACTGGTAACCATGCTAACATCAGTGGTACTGCTCATCTCCAGGGATTCACACACAGCCCCAAACACAACCTGTAATAAACTGTAATAAAATGATGGCATCCATAATAAAGCATCACAGTTTATACAGTTTTCAAAATACCTTTCAATATATTAAATTCACTGATAAGCATTTTCACATATATTATCTCGTTTGATATCGTTATACCTGTTTAATACTTGATTGCAATTGTGGGTCAGGGAAGTAACTGACTGTCAGGTCACAAATGCTATCTAACTGACCAAGAAAGGCCTCAAACCCAAGTGTTCTGCCTCCAAATCCAATCTCACTGTTCTGCCCTGTACCTGAGGAAGGTGGTATAGCTGACCAAGTAGGGATCTGGTAAGAGCCTTTTTTCAAACACACAGGAAACCTAGAAGGCATGTCCTCTTCTTAGGGGAGGCTGGGAAAAGGAGTGATTATATATTTGCTATAATTCTTTCAACTATACAAAGACCCACAGACAGAACAATTATGTAACTTTCCATTACAAACTTCAATATCCTTTCTTTCAAACCCCTTCAGTCCTAATCTTCGTTATACCATTTACTGTATGTATGACTCCAGGTCACCAGGGGAATTCCTCTGGGCCTCAATCACCAAATCTATATAATAGGGAAAATAATTTCAGCCTTAGAGGGTAGCTAAGAGGTCTTAAGTGAAATAATGTATTTGATGGACTAGATTAAGCCAGGAGCAGAGGTCTGAGGGAGCAGAAGCCCAATTTGGATCCAGGAACTGCATTAGGACAGTTTTCTTGCCTTTCTGTTTCATAATCCCATTCAAACAAAGGAGACACAAAGATGCAAGTCCTCAAGGGGAAAAGTGAGCTAGCAATTTGGTTCCCAGCAGCCAAAATACTGTAGGATCAGCCAAAGCTTCCTAGGTTTAAAACAGGGCTCACTTTGAAAACTGTGGGGACTTCCCTGATGGTGCAATGGTTAAGAATCCACCTGCCAATTCACGGGATATGGGTTTGAGCCCTGGTCCGGGAGGATCCCACATGCCATGGAGCAACTAAGCCCGTGCACCACAACTACTGAGCCTGCGAGCCACAACTACTGAGCCCACATGCCACAACTACTGAAGCTCGCACACCTAGAGCTTGTGCTCCACAACAAGAGAAGCCACCGCAATGAGAAGCCGCGCACTGCAATGAAGAGCAGAACCCCTGCTCGCTGCAATTAGAGAAAGCCTGTGCACAGCAATGAAGACCCAACACGGGGAGGGAGGGAGGGAGGGAGGGAGGGAGGGAGGGAAGGAGGGAGG